AAATGCATGGTGTACCACTGACATCGACTCGCACCGTTGTGCAGATGAACTGCTCAAATTTGCACAATCTTTTCAAAAATTGAAGAGTTCAGTGATTTCTGATGAAGACAAAGAAGAAGAGAAAGATTCTGATTTAGACTCCGGTTCTGAATATGAAACCGAAGACCACGAAGAAGAAACCGACAGCGAGTCAAGAGACGACGGAACTGCTGAAGAACCAAAGGACAAGGATAAACCATCATTTCTAGAAGCTCTGAGAATTTTGTTGATTACCACCTAGTTGATGTATTTCCAACTCTTTGTAAAGTTTACGCGATCGCAGTTGCAATTCCAATCAAACCCGCACACGTTCGTCTATGTCTCAAGAAAAACTTGAAGCGTTGCTACTTATGACCACTGAACGGAAGATTTTAATGTCTTTGGACAAGAAGCAGATTATTACGGCCTTTGGAGTTCTGACATCAGAATTGTCGAAGGCGCTTATATGAAAATGTTTAGAAATGCTAGAAATCGACAATCGTTATTGAAACATTAAAGACATTGCAGTACATCGATCGATCGATATGGGCAATATTTGACGTTATCAAACTATCAAGTGATATACTGTATAGCATTAACTCTTTTTGTATATTTTGACAAAAAAACATGACAGATTCGTATCAATAAAGTGCAAGCACACTTTTTAGTAAAACATTACAAGTTATTAGTGAGATCGGCGTTTAATATAAAGCAAAATATTTTGTACAAATATACTCAACGAGTGACTTTATTCTTCCATCATAATGAATCTAAAATAGAGATTTATAGTAAAACTGATACCGTACAGGCGTACTAATTTAAGTACTACTACAAAATTCTAACCAAATTGCAAATTTCGACACGTTATAATATACACTAATGTCTGCACCCGAGGGAAATAGTTAGTTTTGTTTTCCCGAGAATCTCAATGTTTCCCGAGACGAAGTCGAGGGAAACATCGTGAGATTCGAGGGAAAACAAAACTAACTATTTCCCGAGGGAAAAGACGTTAAGTGTTTTGTTATATAGCGACGAAACAAATATCAACATTGAACAACATTCATACAGCAATATTTGTTTTTCATGACAAAAACTCTATAGCGTAAACGAGTTTAAAATTTAAAAAACCTACTTAAATGGTTTCATCAGCATATCCTGTTGCCTGTTATGTATTTTTCTTCTCTTTTACATTCTTTATTTTAACACAAAGCCACGAAAACAGTAGTTTAAATAGTATAAATTTGTGCCGCCATTTTGTTTATGTATGTACGTAGCCGGTCGGGGCGGGCAACAATTTTTCACTTATTGCCCGGGCGGGATACATTGCATTTATCTAAAGCCACGTGACTACAAATCAGCCAATCACGTTTGGTGTTCACACTAGCTATATAACAATCTCGTTTCCTGACCATCAGATTTCAAAAATATGCCTGGCCACGGTGGGAATCGAACCTACGATCTTTGGAATACTAACCCAATGCTCTGTCAACTGAGCTACGCGGTCAGGTCAGGTCGGTTCGAGTATGTGATATTTCGGAACAGAATCTAGTTCCATCGATATCAATGTAATCTAGTAATCATGACTTTTTCTGTGTTAGTGTAATGTACTCACCTGAATACAATGCTTGAGATATTATTCTGAGTGTATATCCACACCGGGCAAGCTTGAAAAATATGCCTGGCCACGGTGGGGTAGCTCACTCAGTTGGCAGAGCATCGGGCTAGTATTCCAAAGGTCGTAGGTTCGATTCCCACCGTGGGCAGGCATATTTTATTGAAACATTAAAGACGTTGGAGAACATCGATCGATCGATTTGGGCAATATCTGACGTTATCAAACTATCAAGTGATGTACTGTATAGTATTAACTCTTTTTGTATGATTTGACAAAAAACATGACAGATTCGTATCAATAAAG